ATAGCTCTGCAGATAATTGTTCAGAGTAAGTCTAAAATTATACTGAAGTAATCTTGCTTTGTTTTTCTTGTAGGTTGCAGTGGAATTAGAAAATGTAAAATCAGAATCAGAGCTGTTAAAAAAACAACTGTCAAGTGAGAGACATACGATTAAAAACCTTGAATCATTGTTGGCTACAAATAGAGATAAAGAATTTCATTCCCATTTAACCTCCCACGAGAAGGATACAGAAATTCAGCTACTTAAAGAGAAGTTAACCCTTTCAGAAAGCAAATTGTAAGTGTCATGAATCAACTTATGTGAGGAAAATAGCTTGTCACAAATAATTTTTCAATATGAATAATTTTTTATAGATTTGTAGTGTAAAACAAATGATAGAAAAATAGTGGAGGAACCAAAAAAATTTTGTTTTCGAAGTGTTGGGGGACTGGGGGATGGGAGTGCACAGCAAAGTATTTTGATTACATGGCCGCTGCTTTGGGAAACTCAGGGGGCTTAGCTCAGAAGAGACATCATGTTTGGGCGTGTAATTTGTATATGTTCTCCACAGAGGTGGTACCCATGGAAGTGAACGGGTGGACTTTAGAAAAATACCTAAATTTGAGGAATGAAGAGAGAAGTCAGCGAAGGGGAGAGCATTTCAGAATGGGGAGAGTTGGCTGTGTTTCATGCTATGGATTAGGAAAAAGACTTTGAAAAGGCCATGAAATTTGACCCTCATAATATTGATTACCTTTTAGGAGATTGATAATGGAGAAGTTTGGACATATTTTTGGAAGAAGGGAGGAAACACAGAGTAGATAGTATGAGTGGAATAATTAACTTTTAAAAGGAATTAGAAATATATCTCTTTCTGAGGTAGGAGTCAAGAAAGAGCCAATAAAGATACTTTACTTTTTGATATTACAATTCATGTCTTCTCACATTTGTATCTCCAGCATTGCTGCAGTGCCTAGCACATACTAGAAGCTTAGTAAATGTTCGTTAAATAAATGAGATGAATGAAAAAGAAAACTTTGTGATAGAAGCTCCAGACGTTTATGGAATTATTGTTGGAAAGTCTTCTCTTTTTTTCATCCTTATATGTCACCTCCATTTGTATTTATTAATAACAAAAACAAAAATCCATAGCACTTGATGCTATAAAACAGAATATTTATTATTTATTTGATTTTCTAAATTTGTTTTTAAGAAATAGTCAAAGCCGGGAAAACACCATGCTTCGGGCTAAAATGGCACAATTACAAACAGATCTTGATGTTCTGAAAAGGCAGATTTCAACTGAAAGATACGAACGGTAAGAATATATTTTTAGCATTGAACAGCGTTTTTATTTATTCCCTATTCTATTCCAAAAGGATTTAATATGGCTTACAAATAGCAAACTTTTCTTAGCATTAATATGTAAAATAAATTTCTTTGGTAATTCTTCCTAAAAAGGCAACAAGTGTTGTAGAAGATAATATCCCCACAATAAAGTAGCAAGTATTGTATAAATGTTTGCTGTAGCATTCCTCAGGACAAAATTAAGGCATTATTTCAAAGGATATAGTTAGGGAATCAGCAAGCTAGTAAGGATCCTACAAGAGCCCAAAACATTATGGTCCAATAGGAAATTCCAAATACAAATCATCATGAAAGCGATGATGCTGATGATCTTAAGGGCACTTAACAAGTATATGCCAGATACTATGTATGTATCTGATTAATCCTATTAACTGTCTATTATTGTGCCTATATTATTATTAAAAACTAAGGTCACGCAAATAGTAAATAGCAGAGCCAAGACTAAAATCCATATAGGTTTGTCTAATTTTAAAGCCTGTGCTCTTAATCTTTTCAATATATTCCCTACAGCTTAGGAATTTTCATAGTCACTTATATTTCAGTTCTTTTGCTTTATTATGTTGAAAATTTTAATCTCCAAGTGTTACAGACAGGAATGAGACCTGCTTTAACAGTTAAAATGCAAGTCTAATTTGTGAATCAATTTGTCAATTTACTTTTCTTCCATTATTCTTTCCTACTGTATTAATACCATAGGCATCAGCATTCCTAAGATTTCATTCTCAAATAGTGGTCAGATTGCTTATTTAGGTCAATATTTTGAGTTCTCTAATCTTATTCTTAACCATTTGCTTCAAAACTTTTAAGTGATGTGCAATTTGGATTATAGATGGAATTTGCTAGGAAATCAATATTTGTGATTTCAAAGAGAAATGAAGCCTGAGGTTGCATCAGTGTCATGAAAGCAGTGTTGTTAATTTCTTGTAATTTAGAAGATCTATTTTCTGAATGTACTAAACTGTATATATGTAATGATTTTCATTTATTAATGACAACTGAAATTCTCTTCAAGGGTCCTAAACCAAGCTAAGCTCTCTGTTGCCTAGGGTTATAGGCTCCCTTAATTCTTCTCCTTTTTCCTTGCCCCTGGTCCCCAAAGAAACCTTGACCCACATGACCATGTCTTTCCTTCTGTTTACCATGCAACTAGGTCTTGCATTTTTAAAGAGGCAATATTGTCTCTGCAGGGAACAATATAGATTCTTGGGGAAGAGGGAATGGCAAAGAAACCTTAGGCACTACAGTGATTTATGGCCCTCGGAAGGGCCACAGTATATTAACAGTGTATCTGTGTATTAAAATCTGATGTATTAAAATTGGACGGAGGGGGAATAATTTGGGGAGGGGCATCTAAAAAAGTTTTTGTAGGGGATTATAATGAAAAAAGTTTGTGAAGCACCCGTCTAGGTAGAAATCCTAGGCACTGAAGAGCTCAAGTCAGAAAGTCTGGGCCAGGGACTGTGAATAGCCCACAGTAGAGGTGGCAACACAGTCATTATGCTTTGTGGGGCAGACCAAGACATAACAGAAAGTAGATTATTTTACTTCTAACATTTGGGCATTTTGAGACAGGAAGGAAGAGGACTAGATTTATGTGCAAGAAGGGGCGGGAAAGGTAGGGGCAGAGAGGGGAACCAACCAACTTTGAAAATCTATATTCAGAGGGGCTTTGAACAATCTCTTAAAGTACATATTCCTTTAATTGACATCTTTTATCCTCAACTTAAAAATGATATAAAGACATAGGATTTATTTATTTGTTTGTTTATGGCTGTGTTGGGTCTTTGTTGCTGCGTGGGCTTTCTCTAGTTGCCATGGCAAGCAGGGGCTACTCTTCATTGAGGTATGCAGGCTTCTCTATGCGGTGGCTTCTCTTGTTGTGGAGCACGGGCTGTAGGCGCGCGGGCTTCAGTTGTTGTGGCACGTGGGCTCAGTAGTTGTAGCTCACGGGCTCTAGAACGCCGACCCAGTAGTTGTGGCACACGGGCTTAGTTGCTCCACGGCATGTGGGATCGTCCTGGACCAGGGCTCAAACCTGTGTCCCCTGCATTGGCAGGCGGATTCTTAACCACTGTGCCACCCGGGAAGTCCCTTCAAAGGATTTAAATTTAGTAGAAATACTAATTAATCAATTGAGTAGAAATTACTTAACTAATAACAATAACAGGACCTTTTATTTGTTTACCACTTTTTGGTATAATCTCTTATTTTGTCTTTATTGACAGAGAACGAGCAATCCAAGAGATGCGTCGGCACGGTCTTCGCACACCACCCCTTAGTTCTACTCTGAAGTCTCCTTTACATTCTCCTGAACATAAAAACTGATTATCAGAAAGGTATGTATGTAACACCAAGTACAAGCAAAACTTATCTCTGGTTATAAAAATTACAAGAGTTGTTTTCTGTGTGGGGGGAGAGGAGATTGCCTATAAAGGTGGTAGGGAACTTTCAGAGGTAATGGAATGTGCTGTATCATGGTGGTGATGGTTACATGGCTGTATACAATTGTAAAAATTCGTTGAACTGAACGTTTACAGTCCATGTATTTTATTGTACATAAATTATACATTAATTAAAAAAGAAGACATCTGGGGACTTCCCTGGTGGTCCAGTGGTAAAGAATCTGCCTTCCAGTGCAGGGGACGTGGGTTTGATCCCTGATCGGGGAACTAAGATCCCACATGCCGTGGGGCAACTAAGCCGATGCACCACAACTACTGAGCTTGCGCGCCTCAGTGAGAGCCTGGGTGCCACAAACTACAGAGCCCACGTGCTCTGGAGCCCGCACACCACAACTAGAGAGAGGAAACTCATGCACCACAACTAGAGAGAAGCCCACGCGCCGGCTTAGTTGCTCCGTGGCATGTGGGATCTTCCCGGACCAGGGCTCGAACCTGTGTCCCCTACATTGGCAGGCGGATTCTTAACCACTGCGCCACCAGGAAGTCCCAGTAGCATATTGTTTTATTCAGCCCTACTCTAATTTGACTACTACATTTTTTGTCGAGGTTTCTTTGGCAAACATGATGATAAAATTAGGTGCTGTTTTGAAGCAGAGGGGTATTTAGGAGAATATAAGTCTTCTAATTATAGAATAGGAACATATCCCAATACATTCTTTCTCTGCTTAAAAGTAAGACTTATATGAAGAATTGAGCAGTTCATTCCTTTCTAAGTGGAATATTTTCCTGATAAAAATCTTACTTAATTTTAAAAGTCGAGTTAACTGGAACGTCCCATTCCCAAACCGAAGCATTACTTTAAACAACCCAATGTGTGTTTTTAAACACTTATTTAGTAGTAACTTTATTTTCAGGTACTGAGAAGCTTCAAGACTGGTTTGACTATGTAAACAGAATATACATATTTACTAAACCAGAAGGGCCTCCTTACTGATAGGGTGGCCACATTTTAGGATTTTACGTTAATTACCCTCTCTTGACAAGATAACATGAAAGAAAACTATTTGAGGGTTGGGATAGGTCTTTGCTAAAAATAACAAAGATTATTTTGACAATAAGATGTTTTTCCTATATGTGAAAAGTATTACAGAATCTTTAATCAGTACCCAAAATGAAGCAACTGATGTGCGTATAGCTCTGCAGATAATTGTTCAGAGTAAGTCTAAAATTATACTGAAGTAATCTTGCTTTGTTTTTCTTGTAGGTTGCAGTGGAATTAGAAAATGTAAAATCAGAATCAGAGCTGTTAAAAAAACAACTGTCAAGTGAGAGACATACGATTAAAAACCTTGAATCATTGTTGGCTACAAATAGAGATAAAGAATTTCATTCCCATTTAACCTCCCACGAGAAGGATACAGAAATTCAGCTACTTAAAGAGAAGTTAACCCTTTCAGAAAGCAAATTGTAAGTGTCATGAATCAACTTATGTGAGGAAAATAGCTTGTCACAAATAATTTTTCAATATGAATAATTTTTTATAGATTTGTAGTGTAAAACAAATGATAGAAAAATAGTGGAGGAACCAAAAAAATTTTGTTTTCGAAGTGTTGGGGGACTGGGGGATGGGAGTGCACAGCAAAGTATTTTGATTACATGGCCGCTGCTTTGGGAAACTCAGGGGGCTTAGCTCAGAAGAGACATCATGTTTGGGCGTGTAATTTGTATATGTTCTCCACAGAGGTGGTACCCATGGAAGTGAACGGGTGGACTTTAGAAAAATACCTAAATTTGAGGAATGAAGAGAGAAGTCAGCGAAGGGGAGAGCATTTCAGAATGGGGAGAGTTGGCTGTGTTTCATGCTATGGATTAGGAAAAAGACTTTGAAAAGGCCATGAAATTTGACCCTCATAATATTGATTACCTTTTAGGAGATTGATAATGGAGAAGTTTGGACATATTTTTGGAAGAAGGGAGGAAACACAGAGTAGATAGTATGAGTGGAATAATTAACTTTTAAAAGGAATTAGAAATATATCTCTTTCTGAGGTAGGAGTCAAGAAAGAGCCAATAAAGATACTTTACTTTTTGATATTACAATTCATGTCTTCTCACATTTGTATCTCCAGCATTGCTGCAGTGCCTAGCACATACTAGAAGCTTAGTAAATGTTCGTTAAATAAATGAGATGAATGAAAAAGAAAACTTTGTGATAGAAGCTCCAGACGTTTATGGAATTATTGTTGGAAAGTCTTCTCTTTTTTTCATCCTTATATGTCACCTCCATTTGTATTTATTAATAACAAAAACAAAAATCCATAGCACTTGATGCTATAAAACAGAATATTTATTATTTATTTGATTTTCTAAATTTGTTTTTAAGAAATAGTCAAAGCCGGGAAAACACCATGCTTCGGGCTAAAATGGCACAATTACAAACAGATCTTGATGTTCTGAAAAGGCAGATTTCAACTGAAAGATACGAACGGTAAGAATATATTTTTAGCATTGAACAGCGTTTTTATTTATTCCCTATTCTATTCCAAAAGGATTTAATATGGCTTACAAATAGCAAACTTTTCTTAGCATTAATATGTAAAATAAATTTCTTTGGTAATTCTTCCTAAAAAGGCAACAAGTGTTGTAGAAGATAATATCCCCACAATAAAGTAGCAAGTATTGTATAAATGTTTGCTGTAGCATTCCTCAGGACAAAATTAAGGCATTATTTCAAAGGATATAGTTAGGGAATCAGCAAGCTAGTAAGGATCCTACAAGAGCCCAAAACATTATGGTCCAATAGGAAATTCCAAATACAAATCATCATGAAAGCGATGATGCTGATGATCTTAAGGGCACTTAACAAGTATATGCCAGATACTATGTATGTATCTGATTAATCCTATTAACTGTCTATTATTGTGCCTATATTATTATTAAAAACTAAGGTCACGCAAATAGTAAATAGCAGAGCCAAGACTAAAATCCATATAGGTTTGTCTAATTTTAAAGCCTGTGCTCTTAATCTTTTCAATATATTCCCTACAGCTTAGGAATTTTCATAGTCACTTATATTTCAGTTCTTTTGCTTTATTATGTTGAAAATTTTAATCTCCAAGTGTTACAGACAGGAATGAGACCTGCTTTAACAGTTAAAATGCAAGTCTAATTTGTGAATCAATTTGTCAATTTACTTTTCTTCCATTATTCTTTCCTACTGTATTAATACCATAGGCATCAGCATTCCTAAGATTTCATTCTCAAATAGTGGTCAGATTGCTTATTTAGGTCAATATTTTGAGTTCTCTAATCTTATTCTTAACCATTTGCTTCAAAACTTTTAAGTGATGTGCAATTTGGATTATAGATGGAATTTGCTAGGAAATCAATATTTGTGATTTCAAAGAGAAATGAAGCCTGAGGTTGCATCAGTGTCATGAAAGCAGTGTTGTTAATTTCTTGTAATTTAGAAGATCTATTTTCTGAATGTACTAAACTGTATATATGTAATGATTTTCATTTATTAATGACAACTGAAATTCTCTTCAAGGGTCCTAAACCAAGCTAAGCTCTCTGTTGCCTAGGGTTATAGGCTCCCTTAATTCTTCTCCTTTTTCCTTGCCCCTGGTCCCCAAAGAAACCTTGACCCACATGACCATGTCTTTCCTTCTGTTTACCATGCAACTAGGTCTTGCATTTTTAAAGAGGCAATATTGTCTCTGCAGGGAACAATATAGATTCTTGGGGAAGAGGGAATGGCAAAGAAACCTTAGGCACTACAGTGATTTATGGCCCTCGGAAGGGCCACAGTATATTAACAGTGTATCTGTGTATTAAAATCTGATGTATTAAAATTGGACGGAGGGGGAATAATTTGGGGAGGGGCATCTAAAAAAGTTTTTGTAGGGGATTATAATGAAAAAAGTTTGTGAAGCACCCGTCTAGGTAGAAATCCTAGGCACTGAAGAGCTCAAGTCAGAAAGTCTGGGCCAGGGACTGTGAATAGCCCACAGTAGAGGTGGCAACACAGTCATTATGCTTTGTGGGGCAGACCAAGACATAACAGAAAGTAGATTATTTTACTTCTAACATTTGGGCATTTTGAGACAGGAAGGAAGAGGACTAGATTTATGTGCAAGAAGGGGCGGGAAAGGTAGGGGCAGAGAGGGGAACCAACCAACTTTGAAAATCTATATTCAGAGGGGCTTTGAACAATCTCTTAAAGTACATATTCCTTTAATTGACATCTTTTATCCTCAACTTAAAAATGATATAAAGACATAGGATTTATTTATTTGTTTGTTTATGGCTGTGTTGGGTCTTTGTTGCTGCGTGGGCTTTCTCTAGTTGCCATGGCAAGCAGGGGCTACTCTTCATTGAGGTATGCAGGCTTCTCTATGCGGTGGCTTCTCTTGTTGTGGAGCACGGGCTGTAGGCGCGCGGGCTTCAGTTGTTGTGGCACGTGGGCTCAGTAGTTGTAGCTCACGGGCTCTAGAACGCCGACCCAGTAGTTGTGGCACACGGGCTTAGTTGCTCCACGGCATGTGGGATCGTCCTGGACCAGGGCTCAAACCTGTGTCCCCTGCATTGGCAGGCGGATTCTTAACCACTGTGCCACCCGGGAAGTCCCTTCAAAGGATTTAAATTTAGTAGAAATACTAATTAATCAATTGAGTAGAAATTACTTAACTAATAACAATAACAGGACCTTTTATTTGTTTACCACTTTTTGGTATAATCTCTTATTTTGTCTTTATTGACAGAGAACGAGCAATCCAAGAGATGCGTCGGCACGGTCTTCGCACACCACCCCTTAGTTCTACTCTGAAGTCTCCTTTACATTCTCCTGAACATAAAAACTGATTATCAGAAAGGTATGTATGTAACACCAAGTACAAGCAAAACTTATCTCTGGTTATAAAAATTACAAGAGTTGTTTTCTGTGTGGGGGGAGAGGAGATTGCCTATAAAGGTGGTAGGGAACTTTCAGAGGTAATGGAATGTGCTGTATCATGGTGGTGATGGTTACATGGCTGTATACAATTGTAAAAATTCGTTGAACTGAACGTTTACAGTCCATGTATTTTATTGTACATAAATTATACATTAATTAAAAAAGAAGACATCTGGGGACTTCCCTGGTGGTCCAGTGGTAAAGAATCTGCCTTCCAGTGCAGGGGACGTGGGTTTGATCCCTGATCGGGGAACTAAGATCCCACATGCCGTGGGGCAACTAAGCCGATGCACCACAACTACTGAGCTTGCGCGCCTCAGTGAGAGCCTGGGTGCCACAAACTACAGAGCCCACGTGCTCTGGAGCCCGCACACCACAACTAGAGAGAGGAAACTCATGCACCACAACTAGAGAGAAGCCCACGCGCCGCTACAACTAGAGAGAAAACCTGCACGCCACAACTAGAGAGAAGCCCATGCGCCACTACAACTAGAGAGAAAACCTGCACGCCACAACTAGAGAGAAGCCCATGTGCCACTACAACTAGAGAGAGAAAACCCACGCACCACAACTAGAGAGAAGCCCATGCACTGCAAGGAAGAGCCTGCACGCCGCAACGAAAGATCCCGCATGCCTCAATGAAGATCGCACACGCCACAACTAAGACCCAATGCCGATTTAAAAAAAGAGAGAGAGAAGACATCCACAACAAAAATTAAATGACAATATATCACAGGGTAATATTTGATGAAGTGCCAAACTCAAGGTACAAATAACAGATAGTGAAAGTGTGGACAAAGACATAGAAAATATTATTTAATATTGAAAGCTAGATATTTTAAGATAAATTATTATATACATACAGGAAAGTGCTATATCATAGGATATACAGCTCAATGAATTTTTACAAACTGAACACACCTATGCAACCTGCACCCGGATCAAGAAACAAAACATGACCTCTCTTGGGTGTCTTTCTGGTCATAAGCCTTACTCTAAAAGTAACTGTCTCGGTTATTAAAAGCATAGATTTCTTTTGTCTGTTTCTGGACATTTTATAAGCGAAATCATATATTTCTGGCTTTTTTTCTCAATAGTGCCTCTGTGACATTCATCCATACTGCTGTGTACTTGCAGTTGGTTCAGTCTTGTTGCTGTGTAGTATTCCATTATGTGAACAGACCACAGTCCATGTACTCACTCTGTTTTTGATGGGCATGTGATAATTTCCAGTTTGGGCTATTACAGGTAGAATTATGATGAACATTCTAGTACCTTATGTTGGCGAACAGATGTGTGCATTTCTTTTGGGTATACACTTAGGAGTGAGATTGTCAGGTCATTGGACGTGCATGTGTTCGAGCTTGAGTAGTTATGGTAAGGCAGTTTTCCAGAGTGATTGTAAAGAGCTAGGACACATTTGGCTGAGGAAGGGTCAAAGTGATGTGCTCATTCATTGGAGATGGGAGTGAATGGGAAAGAAGCATGTCAGACCCAGGGTTTGAAAAGTAGATGACTGAAAAATGCAGGCTTATTGACAGAAATAGTAAAGTCAGTCCTTTTAAAAATTATTCATTTTTTGGCTTCTCCCAATAGAATTTTATAGGAGATAATTAAGCATTTCCTTGGTGACTTCAGAATCCTCATAAGAGTATTAGCTATGTTCTATTCTTTAATATACTGATGCCCCAGGGTTTACTGATATTTGTAGGGCCTATGTTTAAATGATTCCTGATTGCTGTGCTTTTTGCTTTTGTGTTTGTTTATTTGACTAAAACATTTGACTTCCTCTTTCACTTTGAGGACCACTTCCTAGTGCTGGCAGCAGTCACTTTGTCCTCACAACTTCTAAGCTGCTGCATTAATTTGAATGTGATTAGATGGAGGTTCTGCTTCTCATTATAAAGCCTCTTGGCAGTTGTGACACAAGCATTTTTTTCATGCTTGATTCACAGCTGCATTTTAGATCAAGGGTTGGTAAACTAGGCCCCTATAGGCCAAATCCACACCACTGCCTAATTTTGTAAATTAAGCTTTATTAAGCCACACCGATTTGTTTACATATTGTCTCAGACTGCTTTTTTGCAGTGGCAGAATTAGGTAGTTGTGACAGAGACCCTGTGGCCCACAAATCTGAAATATTTATTTACTAACTGGCCTTTCACGTCACATAGCCCCTGGAAAACTTATCTGTATACTCGTGAGATAATATGAGTGAAAAAGCAAGTAATTCCTTAGTTTATGAAAAGAGGCTTGACTCCCAGGGATCCCCAAACTATACTTTAAGAACCACTGGGGGCTTTCCTGGTGGCACAGTGGTTGAGAGTCCGCCTGCCGATGCAGTGGACATGGGTTCGTGCCCCAGTCCGGGAAGATCCCACATGCCGCGGCGCGGCTGGGCCCGTGAACCATGGCTGCTGAGCCTGCGCGTCCGGAGCCTGTGCTCCGCAACGGGAGACGCAAAAACAGTGAGAGGCCCACAAACCAAAAAAAAAAAAAAAAAAAAAAAAGAACCACTGATCTAGAACATAGTGCTTTCCAGCAGTCTCTAAAGCTGTAATGAATTAGAAAACTTTTTAAAATTATGATAAAATATATATAACATGAACTTTGCCTACTTTTTTTTTAAAGATTTTTTTGATGTGCACCATTTTTAAAGTCTTTATTGAATTTGTTACAATATTGCTTCAGTTTTATGTTTTGTTTTGTTTTTTTTCTGGCCAGGAGGGATGTGGGATCTTATTTCCCTGACCTGGGATCGAACCCACACCCCCTGCATTGGAAGGCAAAGTCTTAACCACTGGACAACCAGGGAAGTCCCTCAACTTTGCCTTCTTAACTCTTTTGTAAAGTGTACAACTCAGTGGCATTAAATTCACAACGTTGTACAACCATCACCACTATTTCCAGAATTTTTTATCACCCCGACAGAAACTCTGTATCTATTAAGCAATAACTCTCCAGTCCCCTGTCTTCACTTCCCTGCCCCTGATAACCTCTAATCTACTTTCTATCTCTATAAATTAGCCTACTCTAGATTTTCATATAAGTGAATTTATACGACATTTGTCTTTTTGCATCTAGCTTACTTCATTTAGAATAATGTCTTCAGGGTTCATCTGTGTTGTAGCATGTATCAGAACTTCATTCCTTTTCATCCCTGAATGATATTCCTTTGTGTTTATACCACGTTTTGTTCTTTTGCTCATCAGTTGATGGACACCTGGGTTGTTTTCATCTCTTAGCTATTGTGAATAATGCTGCTGTGAACATTGGTGTACAAGTATCTGTTTTAGTCTGTTTTAATATCTTTTGGGAGTACCTAGAGTTGCTGGGTCATAAGGTAATTCTATGTTTAACTTTTTGAATACCTGCCAAACTTTTTCCACATAACTGTACCATTCTCACCAGCAGTGTAAGAGTTCCAGTTTTCCAAGTCCTTATCAACACTTGTTATTTTCCATTTTTTTATTATAGCCATTCTAGTAGATGTAGATTAGAAAATGTCTACAACCATTAACAAATTCCCAGAGTATCCTAATGATATTGTTAATTGGTAGCACATTTCCATTCATATTTTCTAACGTTGTCACCAAAACTAATTTTAAGGGATTTCCCCATAAGTACCCAGAAATGAATATGAAATATTCATATCAAGTCGTATTTACAGTGTCTCTAATAGTTAACATATATAATCCAGTTTTGCTTTTACTGTTTTGATTATTGCATCTAAAAAATGCTCACTGAGAAAACATAAAATACAAAAGTATAAAGAAGATAACCAAAATCACTTCTTTTTATATTTTTTTTATTGGAGTAAAATATACATAAGGTCAAATTTATCATTTTAACCATTTTTAAGTGTACATTTCTCTGGCAGTTAATACGTTCACACTCTTGTGCAAAAATCATCTCCACCATCAATCTCCAGAACTTTTTCATCTTCCCCAGCTAAAACTCTGTACCCATTAAACACTAACTCCCCATTCTCCCTTTCCCCTAACCTCTTGCAATCACCGTGACAATTTCTGTCTCTATGAATTTGACTATTCTTTGTACCTTAAGTAAGTGGAATCATGCAGCATTTGTGTTTTTGTGACTGACTTATTTCACTTACTATAATGTTTTCAAGTTTTATCCATGAGGGAGGGAGTATGTGTCAGAATTCCCTTCCTTTTTGAGGCTGAATATTATTCCATACTATGTATATAGCACACTTTGTTTATCCATTCATCACTTGACTTGCTTCCATCTTTTGGCTATTGTGAAAATGCTGCTGTGAACATGGATGTACAAATCAAAATCACTTTTAATCCTACAACCCAGAGAAAATAGCAATTAGCCATTTGGTACACTCCCTTCTTTTTAAAAAGAAAAAAAAGGTTTATTTATTTATTTTTTTAAAACGTTATTTACTTATTTATTTTGGCCGTGACATGCGACATGCAGAATCTTTGCAGGATCTTAGTTCCCCAACAAGGGGTCAAATCCGTGACCCCTGCATTGGGAGGGGAGCGTGGAGTCTTAACCACTGGACCACCAGGGAAGCCCCTACTCCTTTCTTATGTTTAATTTGTAATAAATATACACACAAGCATAGACATACATGTATAATTCTAATAGAAATCATACTCAAAATAGTTTTTATCAGTTTTTTTGTTTTGTTCTGTTCTGTGGGGTTTTCCCCTTAATATAGTTGCATGCATTTATTCTTATCATTAAAAGCATTTTCAAAAATGCCATTTTAAAATAGTGATTTAACAGTTGATCACATGGATATTTCATAAATTATTTAATCATTCTTCTCTTATGGAACATATATCAATAGTTTGTTTCCAGCTTTTTTTTCTTATAAACAATGTTTTACATCAGTATTTGACAACCTGCCTGATAATTTCTTCTTAAGTATGTGTTCCTCGATATAGAAAAAAATAATTACTTTCTCAGTGTTTCCATTGTGTGATTTTTTTATATTTTAATGTCTGTGTCTTTTAATTGGGAGGGTGGTTAGATAGCACATAAGGTCAACATACTTGGAAAAATATTTGACTATCCCTAACATGCTATTTTAAGACTCAGACAACATAATTTACAGTACTTGTTTGTAATTTTATGAAACCTATACATCATAGTATCCCTTCTTTTGAGCAATTTTTCTCAATTAACATTCTATGTTACCCCATTCTTTTCACTGTGTATCATTCTTTCAGTACTCTTATACTTTGAAGTGCTTTTGTATAATAGTTTAAAGGGAATATCTTTTTGAAATATAGAACAATACTTCTTGACTATTAACTATAATTTGTGGGCAAAGGTTTTATTAGAGATTATAATTTCAGTTAAAACATTACTGAATTGCAGTTTTTCATGAAAGTACTGAGTAATTTTATCATTTTTTTCTTAATCCACCTTTCCCCTCCCCACTTTTTCAGAATGGTGGCTTTCATGAGTTGGCTATACGGATTTTTTTAAAGGACAGACAGTAATGAAATATTTGAAGCACTTGTTCCTGAAAATTATGAACATTGACACAAATTCTACCTCTGTCAACTTTTATTTAAATCAGTGAATATTTATGTAAAAATTTGGTTTAAAAGAGCTATATCCATGTGTATATTTTCATATATATGACAGAACAGAATATGTATGGATAGTGCTAATGTTATATCTGTATTTTTATTATTCCTGACTTAAATTACTTCTCAAAGTGTGGTTATACTGTGAATTAATATGATGTATTATTCACATTATGCTTTAATAATCTTTTTCTTAATGAGCCATGATATATGTATATAAATATTCTCATTTCCATGCCTGTGTTTATAACCCATATCTTTAATACATTCACAAGGGATGATCAACTTTGATGCTATGCTGTCATGTTTAACTTTTTTCTTCTAAATGTAAAATTAATTATGTACCAATATGCTGTCTATCATTGAGGGGACTATATTCAGGTCTATTCTTATAATAGCAAAGGTCTTGATAAAATAATGGTTGCCATATATAATTTGTTATTGCCAACTAGAAGAACTGTGATAGAAAAGATACATTCATATATTATATACAATATACTATTTTGGCTACCACATGGACTCTTCACATAATATAAACACTATCAAAATTAAACTAAAAGCTGTATTTAGAATTTTGTAAAACGATAGAACAGAAATTTGGGATATTTTTCAGTAAATAAAATTTCTCACTGTACGAATCTAAAATTTTGAATACAAAAGTATCAATATATAGGGTAAATACAGTAAAACATTTTGTTAAAATTCCATTATACATTCAATAATATCCAGTTTTTTGCTTCTAAACCTGTGTGTTGTAATTTATCAGTCTTCCAGAATAGTATGTAAACACTGACCTGTTGTGGCATATTAGATAGAAAACAGCTTTTTACAGTGAATTTTCAAAGTTGTAACTTTAAAGGATTTAGATATATACCGATATTAATAAAAGAACAAAAGTACAAAATAGATTGTTGTACAAAAACTAATCGTGTTTAAACCATACATTGGAAGAAAATCCTGTTCTTAATAAATTTCATTATGATCGAAAAAGAACTTAAAAACTAGCATTGGAAAATGGAAGACCAATTATTTATGATACATTTTATTTCCTCCTGTGGTTTAATAAAGTGCAGTTTGTGTGTGAGTGTGTGTGTGTACCTGGGGGTGGGCAGCACTCTTTTTCTAAAACTAATATTCCTTATATGTTCTCATTATGCCCTTTGCAGTAATTATGTATTTGGTGTGATGTGGCTTACTTTTTCACCATCTATGTAATTTTATGTATTCTGTCTCCTGTGTGTGAATTCATGTGTTACAGCAAAATACAATAGAAATGGGACTATTTACAATGTCATATGGAAAATCTTTTAATAAATATATGTAAATAAAATTTTAAAATTTGTCCCCACCTTTTCCCCAAAACAACAGCAAGGCATATTTTGTTCAATATTTTATTTCTAATGTTTCTATAATTGAAAAATGTATAGTTTGCCATAATTGTTATTTTCATAACCATGATACAATTTTTTAAAGTAGTTTTATCTTGAAATACTGAATGTTCTGACCTTTTATAGATGTTTTTAATTTGTTTTAAATAATTTTAAATTATGGAGCTTGACATAGATTTTCCAATAAGCTTTCCAGTCCATTTATTTTCTCTTTCTTACAAATAATTTTGTATAATGGTAGCAATATTCTTAATTCTAAAGTTAAGTATAATTTATTCAAATCAAATTTTATCATGGTGGGATATGGAGAAGTCTCTGAACTCAGATTCCAGGCACTTTTTTTTTTTTTTTTAAACATCTTTATTGGAGTATAATTGCATTACAATGTTGTATTAGTTTCTGCTGAATAACAAAGTGAATCAGCTAAACGTGTACATATATCCCCATATCCCCTCCCTCTGCGTCTCCCTCCCACCCTCCCTATCCCACCCCTCTGGGTGGTCACAAACCATGGAGCTGATCTCCCGGTGCTATGCGGCTGCTTCCCACTAGCTATCTGTTTTACATTTGGTAGTGTATATATGTCAGTGCCACTCTCTCACTTCATCCCAGCTTACCCTTCCCCCCTCCCCGTGTCCTCAAGTCCATTCTCTACATCTGCATCTCTATTCCTGTCCTGCCCCTAGGTTCATCAGAACCATTTCTTTTTTTCAGATTCCATATATATGTGTTAGCATAACGGTATTTATTTTTCTCTTTCTGACTTACTTCACTCTGTATGACAGACTCTAGATCCATCCACCTCACTGCAAATAACTCCATTTCGTTTCTTTTTACGGCTGAGTAATATTCCATTGTATATATGTGCCACATCTTCTTTATCCATTCGTCTGTCAATGGACATTTAGGTTGCTTCCATGTCCTGGCTATTGTAAATAGAGCTGCAGTGAACATTGTGGTACGTGACTCCTTTTGAATTATGGTTTTCTCAGGGTATATGCCCAGTAGTGGGATTGCTGGGTCATATGGTAATTCTATTTTTAGTTTTTTAAGGAACCTCCATACTGTTCTCCATAGTGGCTGTACCAATTTTCATTCCCACCAACAGTGCAAGAGGGTTCCCTTTTCTCCACACCCTCTCCAGCATTTATTGTTTGTAGATTTTTTGATGATGGCCAACTGGCACAAAAACAGAAATACAGATCAATGGAACAAGATAGGAAGCCCCAGAGATAAACCCACACACATATGGTCACCTTATCTTTGATAAAGGAGGCAAGAATATACAATGGAGAAAAGACAGCCTCTTCAATAAGTGGTGCTGGGAAAACTGGACAGCTACATGTAAAAGAATGAAATTAGAACACTCCCTAACACCATACACAAAAATAAACTCAAAATGGATTAAAGACCCAAATGAAGGCCAGACACTAGAAAACTCTTAGAGGAAATCATAGGCAGAACACTCTGAGATAAATCACAGCAAGATCCTGTTTGACCCACCTCCTAGAGAAATGGAAATAAAAACAAAAATAAACAAATGGGACCTAATGAAACTTCAAAGCTTTTGCACAGCAAAGGAAACCATAAACAAGATGAAAAGACAACCCTCAGAATGGGAGAAAATATTTGCAAACGAAGCAACTGACAAAGGATTAATCTCTAAAACTTACAAGCAGTTTGTGCAGCTCAATATCAGGAAAACAAATAACCCAATCCAAAAATGGGCAGAAGACCTAAATAGACATTTCTCCAAAGAAGATAATACAGATTGCCAACAAACACATGAAAGGTTGCTCAATATCACTAATCGTTAGAGAAATGCAAGTGAAGACTACAATGTGGTATCACCTCACACCAGTCAGAATGGCCATCATCAAAAAATACCTCCCATTTTTAATCTCCCATTTTAAAACCCTCTCGAACCATACCATTCCATTTTTCATACTCTTTGTAGCAAAAGTTCCTTGAAAGGAGTTATCCATACTCACTTCATGCTACCTTTCCTTCTTGAACTATTCTAATCACCTAATCACAATTTATTCCCATTACTCCAGTCAAACCATTCTTATCAAGACACCAACAACCCCCATGTGTTCTTTATTTCCACTATTACCTTTTTCATACCTAATATTTCCACTTAGTGCTTTTTCATTATGTTTGATACTGCTCCTGTTTTTCTTTGAGGAAGGATTAGGTACAGATATAGCTTTAAAGTAGTGCATTTGAAGATAAGATTGAGGACTTCTTCCAGAAGGCATCAGAAAAAGAGATTGAAAATGTAAAAGAAAGGATGAGCATCATAGGGGATATGTGTAGGAGTGCCAACATCCAGGTAATAATGAGACTTAGAAATGAGAAATATTAGAAAGGAGTGTAGAAAATAGTTTAAGAAATAATGGAGATAAATGTCCCCAAATTAAGCATACTTTAATAAAGTCTGAGGTCTTTATTAAAAGGGCTCAGAGAAAGCCAAGTAGGAGAGAAGGAAAAACCCACATTTAGACACAATATTGAAGACAGGAGAGAAATTATAAAAGCTTCAGAGAGAAAACAGGTCACCTAAAAAGGAACAAGGGTCAGATTTACATCTGTTGTGGACTGAATGTGTCTCCCAAAATTGGTATGTGGAAACCCTATTTTCTAATGTGATGATATTAGGAAGTGGGGCCTTTGGGAGGTAATTAGGTCATGAGGGTGGAGCCCTCATGAATGGGATTAGTACCCTTGTAAAAGGAATCCCAGAAAGCTCTTGCACTCTCTGCTGTATGAAGGTACAATAATAAGTCAGCAGTCTATAACCCAGAAAAGGGCTCTCACCAGAACCTGACCATGCTGGCACCCTTATCTCTGACTTCTAGCCTCCAAAACCATGAGAAATAAATTTTTATTGTTTACCAATCTATGGTAAATTATTATAGCAATTCCAACAGAGCTGAGACAACATCAACCTTCTCGATAATTACACTGGAAATGAGCAACATAGTACTTTTAGAACATTGAAAGAAATGAATTTTGAACCTATTTTATAACTATGCTGTCATTCAAATCTGAAGGTGTAATAAAAATGTTCTTAGGCATACAAAGTCTCAATGTTTGTCAAGTGAAGATCAACATTGAAAAAGCTTGAAGGAAGTAATCAGAGAAGTAGGTATAGAAGATGCTGCAAGAGATGTCATAATTAAAGATAATCAAATAGCTTGGTAAAGCATATTAAGAAGAGGAGGGACCAAAAAAAGAAACAAAATATATCTATAAAAATTAAGACCAAAAATTTTAGAATCTGGATAATACCAACATGCTAGATAGTGGGCAGGAGGACAGAAAGAGAAGAAAGGCACATGAGGTAAAATACCTGTCAAGAGAACATACAAATCTCGATATTTCAGAAATCAACAAGGAGGGGTAACACAAACAGGTGTCTTAAGAGCAACTATCAAAATGATATAACAGTAAACACATAGAACTTTATTCTTACCAGGCACTTTCTCAAGAGTTTTACATATATTAATTAATTCCCACAACAACCATATTCTCCTTTATTCTCATTTTACAGATGAGAGCACAGGCAAGACTTGCCCATGACCACTTAACTAATAATGATGAAGTCATTTTGGGATGCTTTCAAAAGTGATTTAATATTTAAACCAGCAGAAGAACACTTGACCTCTGCAGTGGAAAGCAGGAAAAGAAAAAAAATCAAAACGAAATTGAAGTACAGTAGATGGAAAATATGAAACAAAATGGCAGAAATAAATCCTTATGCAAGAGTAACCACAATAAATTGTAAATTGATGGATAAAATCCATCAATAAAAAGAAAGAATCAGGGGCTTCCCTGGTGATGCAGTGGTTAAGAATCCACCTGCCAGTGCAGGGGACACGGGTTCGATCCCTGGTCCGGGAAGATGCCACATGCTGCGGAGCAACTAAGCCCGTGAGCCACAACTACTGAGCCTGTGCTCTAGAGCCAGTGAGCCACAACTACTGAGCCCACGCACCACAACTACTGAAGCCTGCGTGCCTAGGACCTGTGCTCCACAGCAAGAGAAGCCCCCACAATGAGAAGCCGATGCACTGCAACGAAGAGCAGCCCCCACTTGCAGCAACTAGAGAAAGCCCACGCATGGCAACGAAGACCCAACGCAGCCAAAAATAAATAAATAAATTGATTTTTTAAAAAAGAATCAGATTTAAAAGACAGGGGACTTCCCTGGTGGCACGGTGGTTAAGAATCCGCCTGCCAATGCAGAAGAGATGGGTTCGAGCCCTCATCCAAGAAGATCCCACATGCCGTGTAGCAACTAAGCCTGTTTGCCACAACTACTGAGCCTGCACTCTAGAGCCTGCGAGCCACAACTACTGAGCCTGTATGCCACAACTACTGAAGCCCGCGTGCCTAGAGCCTGTGCTCCGCAACAAGAGAAGCCACTGCAATGAGAAGCCTGCGCACCGCAACGAATAGTAGCCCCCACTCACCGCAACTAGAGAAAGCCCATGCGCAGCAATGAAGACCTAACACAGCCAAAAATAAATATTGAAAAATAAATAAGTTTATTAAAACAAAAGACAGTATGTGAGTTACAAGAGAGATATGCTTTTTAAAATTTGAAAATAGAAGGAAAGAAAAAGATTCACCAGGCAAATGGGAACCGAAAGAAAGCTGGAGTACTAACCTTACTATCTAAAAAGATAGAATCTTAGGGTGGAAAAAAAGTGTGATATAGTGGTGAGCAACAAGAAGAATAACAAGTACAATAGAACAAGAAGATATAGCCAACATAAACATATGGCTATATATGTACATACATGTATAAAACTCCACACCCTATAAACTGAGAATACATGTTTTTCAAGCATATCTCTTACATTTGAAAAAATAGACCATATAGTAGCCCTTAAAGGAAGCCTCAGGTTCAAAAGAATTATATAAATCATTTCTCTGACCATAATGCATAAAATTAGAAAATAATTTTTCAAAAGGATAGAAAAAACTTCAATATGTCTGGAAACTAAAAATGTCTTTCTAAATTACCCTTTGTTAAAGATGAAAATCATAAAGAAAGTAAAATAATTTAGACTGATAA